TTCAGTCCTTTCTTCTTCTTTTTTTCCTTCCTCCCTTTCACTAATTTATCCCGATGTTAGCACATTCTGTCTTGTAACACCCGGGCGCCTGTAGGTTTGTTTCATGGGATCATTACTTACTGATCAGGATGGCTCCCAGGTCCGGGGCTGAAGACGGAGTGTGAAGTTGTTTTTTTTTTTTTTTTTTTTTTTTTATAATTACTGTGATGATTATTACCTCTCGGTGCTTATTCAGGAAAACCAAACAAAAATCTGGTCCTTGATGCTTCAGTTCTGAATGTGAAATATTACTTGCCAGCTGGTAAAGTTGTGAGGCTCAGCATTTTTTTTTTTAATTTTTTTTTTTTTTTAAACAAGGAGGAAAAAAACCTAAACAAACAAAAAAAGGACTTCTGATCCGTGTGCCAAAGTAGGGGGAGATATGTTGACCGATTTATACTGGCTGAGATGATACTTGCTTTCTACTTCTTGATCACTTGCTCTTTTAAGTAAAATGAGGCACAGAGTTGTTGCTGAGACGAGTGGGAACAGCATTTTGATTTGCTGGTTTAATTAAAAAATGATAAAGGATTAAAGGTAAGCATTATGCATATATATGTATAAATATTTCGACAGACCATTGTAAAAGGGAGAGATCCCTTTAAAAATCGTTTTAACTAAGCTTTGTCAAACACACACTCATTTGCGGTCACTGAGGCCACCTTGGTGCAGATCACTTAAAGTGTATGTCTTAATCAGTTTCCTGTACAGTCAGTAATACTATATTTAACAGACCTAACAATTGTGTGACCTAGGAGTACATTAGAACTGCTTTTAGAACTGTTATCTTGAGAATATTTTTTAAAAGAAAAAAAGACTTTTCTGTTTATTTTTTTCTTTTTTTAATACCTATGGAGCTTAATATTTTCCAGAAAACATTTGTGTTTGGAGGTTGTTGGATTTTAACAGAAGCTGTATTGTGGCAAGGAAAATAAAGTTTCCCACTTCCTTAGCCCTCCCTCTCCCCCTCAACAGATTAAGCCGCACAAGTGGAAGGGGGGTAGAAGATAATATAAGGGAGTCACAAAACTTCAAGGGTCTGGTTAAAGCCACAAAATCCATGGAATGCAGGGAAGAGTTGGATCTATCGTGCCTAGGTGGTGGTCCAAGGGGTTAGATTACAACATGTGCTCCACCAGCTAGGCACCACTTCTAAGGCTGTGTTTCCTGAGCTTTGTGGATTTAAATCATGTAGTTAATTTTTTTCTTTCCTTTTTTTTTTTTTCATGGACCTGACTTTTAAAGAGAGATTGTGGGTGTTGCTATACAACTAGATTAAAGATGCTCATTATTAACAGCATCATGGCCATTGCCTCCAGTTTAATTTAAGAAAATAACCGTGGCAACAGTGAATGATTTTGCTCCCCATACCTTGCCCCCTTTTTATTTGTGGTATTATATTCTGGTGACACACAAGAAAATACTTGACTTTTCCCCTCCTCACAGGACAAGGTGGACGTGGACTGCAGGTTGTGAACCTAGACACACCTAGGGGAGGAAGACAAGAAGAGTTGAACTTAAAAGAGCCCAACGGAGATAAACGAATGTCCCCACATCTCCAAAGCAAAGTTCATCGGATTTTTACTCTAGAGATCTCTTCTTCAGGATGTCATTGAACACTTCCACTGCAGGAAAAGGTGCGGATCCAAACGCGGTTGACACTTACGACAGTGGAGATGATTGGGAAATTGGTGTTGGGAATTTAATAATAGATTTGGACGCCGATTTGGAGAAGGACAGACAGAAATTTGAGATGAATAATTCTACTAACACCACCAGCAGCAACAACACCAGCTCCAAGGATTGCGGGGGTTTGGCTTCCAGTGGGGCTAATGCTACCTCAGCCTTAGCTGATGGCCTAAAATTTGCTTCTGTTCAGCCCTCTGCTCCCCAGGGGAATTCCTCTCACAAAGAGACTAGCAAATCAAAAGTGAAAAGGAGTAAAACTTCTAAGGATGCTAATAAATCTCTGCCTTCTGCTGCCTTGTATGGGATTCCTGAGATCAGCAGTGCTGGCAAGAGGCAGGAAGTCCAAGGGCGCCCTGGAGAGGCAACTGGCATGAATTCAGCACTGGGTCAAAGCGTGAGCAGTAACCCAAACGGCAATAATAACAACACCAGCAACAACACCACCATTGCCTCTTGTGGGAAAAACAAAGAGGAGAAATCAAGTAAAGCCCCGGGCAGCAGAGGCTCCAAGCGGGATAAGGATTTGGGAAAATCCAGGAAGGACAAGCAGCATGACCTGCAGCAGGGCCACACCAATGGCAGTGGGGGTGGCAGCAGCCAGGTCTCCCCTGGGCACCTCTACGGCTTCGGGGCCAAGGGAGGCAGTGGTGGTAGCAGCAGCCCCTTCCCCTGCACCTCCTCTGCTGTGGGGGAGGTGAGCAAAAGTACCCCGGATTCAGGGTTAATGGGGAACTCTATTTTGGTAAAGAAGGAAGAGGAGGAGGAGGAGAGCCACAGGCGAATCAAGAAATTGAAAACAGAAAAGGTAGGAAAAAGCTCCTCTCCACCTCTTCTCTTCTGTTTCTCCCTGTGTCTCCCAAACAACAGCTGTGTTTGGTCCCTGTGTCCTCCTTTCTGCTGTGTATTTGTAACAGGCATGTGTTCCTCCTCTTTCTCTTAAAAAAAAAAAAAAAAAAAAGAACCCTGAGACTTCTTCCCTAGACAGAAGACACCATGTTTTGAGTGTGCTGCTGTTCTTCATAATTCCCCCTCCCTGTCCTCAGACCGAGAGAACGTTTTTGTTTTGTCTCTTCCTTTTGATGGCACTTGCCAACAAGAGGAAACCTCAAGATGACCCTGACTGAGCTGTCCCCGGTTTTAGCAGAGAGCAGCAGTGCTGATACCAGTAGGATGGCACGTGTGTGCAGAATGGAGGGATGTCTGTGTGTCTGTCTCAGGGGGGGTGCATAGCTCAGGCTCCAGGAGCGCAGGTCTTGTATATGCTGACACTTTTCTACGATGTTGGTGAGCATTTAGGGCCATTCCTATCCCAGAGTCGAAGGAGACTCCTCTCCCTTCCCTGAGCTGCTGTCTGGAGTTGAGATCGTGCTTGTGGGGGAAAATGGGAGGCGATGGCAGAGACCTGGGCTCCGCCATTGCGCCTCGTGGAGATGCGGGATGCTTATCGGATGAGGCCCCAGAAGCCTGTGTGGAGGATGGGGAGAAGGAGCCAGCAGACAGGCGGTGCCTCATCCTCCTGGAAGGATGAAGCTGCGAGGAGGGAAGTGCACCTTGTGCTGAGATTCTTGTATGCAAACCAGCTTTTAGAATGGTTTGTCTCCTCGCTGGGGGAGCTTTCCTATCTGAGCTCGGCTGGCTTTTGGATGTGAACTAATCATTTGCTGAGAGGTTGAAATGTATGAAAATCAGATGGGGGTGTGTGTTTTTCTTCCTATTACATTATTAGGGATGCTTTCTGTAAGAATAGATGGCCATGACTCTATTCTTCAGGAAGGGTGGAGGGAGAGCTTGGCTTTTGTTCATTGCTGTTCAAGGAGGTTCTGGTGTCTGCAGGAATTGTTCTGTCCAAAAGGCAGAAGGTGACTTCTAAGAGACCTGGGGCAGGCGTTGGCACAGCATTACGAGACCAATGAATTCCACAGGTTGTCATACAAAGATAACCTGGACTGCCTGAAAAAAAAAGCAAACCAGCATCCCGAAATGAACCATCTCAAGGGTGTTATATTTGTGACTTCATTGTCAGCTATTGGTCTTAAACTACTTTCTTTTGCAACTTCTCTGAGTAAATCAGTGTTCAGCAATGGGAAAACTTTCAGGTCTGCGTTAACTGTATGGTCTGCAAGTGTCTGGGAGGTCTGAAGGTCTCAGGAAAAAGTTAGGTCTTTTTACAACCTATTACTGTGTTTTTGTTTTTGTTTTTTTTTTGTATTTTGGTCATGGTGAAGTTTTTGTGGTATTTAAGTCAAAGGGACAATTAGATTTGGGTGTTTGTGACATCAGGTTTTTATTAAAACTGGAAGATAATTTCAAGGGCTTCTGTTCAAGGCAAGGAACAAATTTAATATTGTATGCATATTATTGCTTTTAAAATGGCGTATCTACGTATGAATTTGAATGACCCTTGTGATCTTTTCTAAATGTAGAAGAGAAAACCAGACTGCTGTAATTCACGTGTATATGTTTATGCTTTGATTTATGAAAGTTCTGTTCTTGGCAGAAAGGTGTCCTAAAATCTCATGGTCTCTTATTAACTTAGTACAGTAGGCATTTACTTCTGTTGCCAATAGTCTTCAAATTGCAGTTCTCTAATCTGTTTTAACTATCTAGATAAATTGCCCTAATCCGGTCTTCACAATGGCTGTGGTTAAAGAGTCAGAGCCATTTGATTGGATTCAGTGGCTGCCTGGAATGTGGGAGGTACTGCCCTTTTGCAACCCCCTTAGCCTTTTAATCTCTCAGCCAAATGTTCACATTCAACAATTTTGTTTAGCTGGCAATCTGAACATTTCAGTATCTCAAAGGCTGCTGTCATGGCAACAGAGATTAGAGGGTGGTGTGGTTTCTCCCGTTTTTGTGTTCTTTTCACTCTCTCGTCATACAGGAAATTGTGTGAGGAATCCATATGCATGGTAGTGATCTTACGTGCAGTGCAAATTGGATGGCATGCGAATTCAGAGGGAACATGTATGGAGCGGTCCAGAGCCAGTGTCATCGTTGTTGCTCCAGGAGATTTGGATCTTGCATTTCCAGCCACAGCCGCCGCTGTTGGCACACACCGACTTTAATATAGGCTTTGCACATTAGAGTCGTGCAGTGTTGGCCATTGTCTGGCACAATGCTGTGCCTGCTTGCTGCCTTAAAAAACATCCCTTCCTGTTTCTGTTCCTAAAGAATGTTCCCTTCTAGACATACAGTAAAGCTCTTTGCTGACTACGGTTGCAACCTTCAACCCAGCCTCTGGCACTTCTAGTGAAACTTAAGTGTTTTATGTTTGTTGGTCTGGCTTTTTTACCAAATGTTTAATATTCATCAGAAAGATTTTTTGTTTGTTTGTTTATGGTTTTAGATTGCTTTGGCTGTTTACACATCAGAACATAAACGCTGTACTTGCACAAAGCACCTTGTGTGTGTAGATAAATACATGGTTTTCAAGTCTGCATGTTAAAATAAATTTCCAGTTATCTTAATGTTGTGAAAGACATGTCTCATAAATTTGGATGTTTCCTCTTACATACAAATGGGTTCATGCCTGCTGATTCAAAGTCTAAAGGTTTTTGTATGTGGTGTGGAATTTTAATATTGCATTTATTTATTATTTGTGAAAAGCTTGGAGCAGATTCCTAGGAGTTGCAGTCACTGTTTAGCTTTCAGAGCATGCTTCAATGTCTATTTTTGGTCTATTTGTTCTGTTTCCTTGCTGCAAAAAGTCATGTAAAACATGATAAATTGGATCTTATGAAGCCTAATTAAATCAATGACTGTGTACTGCTGGCTCTTTTATGCAGAAACCGCAAGTATGTTGTAAAAGTTGCCACTCCCCTAATATGTGGATAAAGTCAAAGTATGCTGTAATTCTAAGATGTTTGAGCTATATTCATGCAGCCCGGTTTGTGGTTAAGCCACCAGTGACATGTCTGAATAAATAGCTTTGACAGGTAGGCTAAGCACTCTTAAGATTTTTGGTGTTAAAACCTGTCTCCATTTTCCATTTCTCATCCATAATGTTTTTAATGCAGGTATTGACTGTCAGCATGAACTCTTCATCTGTTTTCACTAACTTTTTTTTTTTTTTTTTTAACAAGCTGTTACATTAAAAGTGTTCAGAGTATCTACGAGCATTTGCTTAGTGCGTGTTGCTGGGAGATTTTGGCATTCAAGCAGTCACGATTTACTCTGAAATACGGGAAAATTGTATTTGGCATGTGAAAATCAGTATATTTATGTGAAAATAATACAGAAGATACAGTGCTATAATCAGAGATGCCTAGCTGCAGTTTTAAAATTAATCAGTCTAGTGATACTCTGGGACTGAATTTTTCTTCTGTATTTGTTTATTGCTTCTCATTAAGGCTGCATTTCACATCTGAAAGTTGTCTTCAGCAAAGTAATGTGTTGGCTGGTATTGCGAGTGCTTTTTTTCTATGTGTTTTAGTAGTGGGAATGAGGGTGTTTTACACTTCGTCGGGAAACCGTGCATTTTACCTGCTGATGTAAGTCATTTAAGTACATGCTTTGATTAATGATGTTATGGAGATATGCTTTTCATGTACTTTTCTTGCCGGCCTTGTGTGTAGTTTATTCACTGTGAAATAAAAGGGCAGGGAGGTCACTTGCTGTAATTAAAGAACAAAGTCTATTGTTGTTTGACAGCAAACTGTTTTGAAAGCTACATAAGGGATTTAGCTGTTAAAAACATTGATAACTATGGGTGTCTAACAATAAGCGCAGCTCAAGGTTCTTAAAGTTCTGTAGTAGTTTGCCTTTGGTGCTTTTTGAGCTGGGTGAAGAGGTGTTGCCCTTTGGCCGAGGAGAGCTTTCCGTGTGAACCTGCTGACCTCTGCCAGTGTGTACAGCTAGGTCTGCTGTGGGATTCCTGTGCAAAGCAAGAGTGAGCAGAGCACAGGGAGGGCTGCTCTAGAACATCTATAAAACAAAATAGGGGAGCTGATAACCTTACTCGGAACTACTGCAAAAATATTTCACTTTGGGCATTGGTAATTTTACAATTTTAATAACTTCATAAATACCCAGTAAAAGGGAAAGGATTGATTGTCCAGATGTCATGAGGTTAACCGTGTCCTCCATGTTAAAGGGCTTTCCTGAAAGACTGTTTTAATTATAGCTATATAAAGACTTGTTTTTCCAAAGTAGCACTTTATAGTCCAATAAATGAAATGTATTTTTAAAGTGCTAAGCAAAATCTCCCGTAACCATAGAGGTGTTCAATAACCAGATTCAAGTAAGATGGAAAGTACCATCTGTTCCTAGTTTTCAGCATAAACCCAGGAATTGAATAGCTGAGATTTGCTCACATTTTTTCTACTCTCTCTCCTTTTCTTTCTTTATTATTATCATCATCATTTTTAAAAGTTCACCTGGCACTTTATAGAAGCTCTCTGAAATGCAATAATATAGGAGAGACTGTGAAAACACATGTTCGTACATACAGTTAACCAGTTCCACTTTCATTTAAAGAGATTTCCAGAAGCTCAGCCATTGAAGAATTTATAATAGTGAATCACCTCCTGCAGGCAAACACAATAAGGGTCAGTTCTTCAAAGGTCTTACTATTTAGGTAGAACCTGAATTATTCTGTCAGTTTTTCCCTACGCAGTAAAAGGAAGGGGGTGGGGGGGAGGGGAAGGAAGTCTCTCAAAGGATAATTCTAGCAAGCTCTTATCAGTCACCTAATTGCATAAGATAAAAACATTGACTAAAATTTTCCATGCGGAGACTTCTCTGCTCTTCAGAGAAGTGTTCTAGGATTGTTGATGGGGGAAAATTACTCTTTTAATGATAACCTAAGTTCTGAACTGTTAAGCAATGAGATTCTTGGCTACAGCCTATGACCTCTGGATAAAACGCCATCCGGCCTTTGTTTGAGGTCTTTTACTGAAGCTAATGACTGGTCTTGTGCCGCCCTGAGATAAATGACATTATCTCTGAGTGGTCTGACAGGAAACAGACATGTTAATGGTGAAGCTGCGGGGAGGATCTGCTGTTGCTCTGACAAAAGAGTAAAGCTTGGACCCCTGGTTGTGATCATTAACACTTAATGCATTCCAGCTTCTCCTACCAGGGCCTTGATAATTGGAAAGCTATTTTTTTTCCAACAACAACGTAA